AACGTGATTCTCATGTTTTGGAATATCTGATTATGAATTCCTTGTATCCTTCGATTAAGTATATAAAAAACTAATGCACGAATATTAAATATTTTGTAATAATGACACAATTAGTTGAACTAGAGAATAGTAAATCAATTACATTTTTTGTATAAATTTTATCTAAGAACATGTTATTTTCTTAAATTATATATCAAATTTAAATTGTATTCTAATTTGATAAATTAATTCTTAGTATAAAAAATTATTTGGTGTTTTTAATAAATCTATATAATTTTTAAGAATATGTAAGATAATTTCAGAATGTTAAAGAAAAGTTAATGATTACCTTATGAATTTGTTTTGTTTTCTATAAAAATTATTATTGTAATGCATGTTCGTTATCGTTTTTTTTACATTTTGTATGGAAATTATTATTTTATATTTTCTTTAACAACTTTATACTTTACACGAGTCTTTGTCCTGATATTTATGATTTAGTGTATATATTTGTACTTAAAATAGGTCATTTATTATATATCCATAAGAAAAAACTTATATTTAATTAATTTTTATAAATTATATTAAAAAATATTATCCGATACTACGCTACTGCTATTCATTGATTGTCTCTTTCCTTCCAATATACCAGAAGAAATTCGTTTATACTCAACTATTCGAATATTAAAATATCATTTTAACCGCAAATGAAATAGTACCATAGTGGATTTAAATGTAATATCTTATGCATTATAATTATTTTATCATTTATCTTACGATTTATAATTTATAGTTTACAAATTGTATCTTAAATTATTTTTTATCATTTATTGGTTTAACATTTTATCTTAAGGCACTGTTTGCTTTAAATTTTTATTTTGTAATTATTTAATAAGATTAAAGTTTCACTTTAATAGATTTTCTAATCGTTGAATCAGCTTCGAAAAATACTTTTATTTTCTAACTTTACTTTACTAATACAAGTTTAATGTATAATTCCAAATATACGACTATTCTAGCATTTCATCATAATTTGTTAAAATTAGAATCTCTTTAGTAGACATTCCTTTTTCATCCAAGCAGATACTTTGAAATTGAATTAGATGACGGTTGAAACTCATTGATTATAATATATGAATACTTACTGATAAAGTACATGTTTCTGCTTTATATCAATTTAATCTAGAGTATTATCATATAATAATTCAAATAAAAATTGCTTATATATTGAATTTATGTTCATTGTGATTTAACACCCAATATCGGTACCAGAACCACAATTTTTCTTGAATCCCTATATCAAGATTGCTATTACAGACGCGCATCTGGGTGTCTGTATCATTTATATGTATATGTAAATGATAACCCAAATAACGTTAATATACCTTACTTATTAATAAATATATAATTAAATACATATAATATTACAAAGTCAATCACCATAAATTAAAAATATATCAATATTAAAAGCATCAATATCATAATAAATCAAAATTTATTTTGAATGTATTATAAAAGTTGTTTTTATTATATTATTATATTTATCATAAAAATTAACCTTATAAGTCAAACATAGAACAAATTATATTGTACTAAAACTTATTTTTAAGTATTAATTTTATAGAAACATATTGAGTTATATAATTTAATTATATTACAATCAAGTTTTTTTCAATGCTATTGCTTTCAATTAACTTTTAAAAATTAAATCTCGTAAATATGCTTATTTTTTTTACGCTCCTTACCTATCTATTTTTATACTTTCTTGAAATTGCAGTAGCGAATATATCACGAAGTTTTTTCAATTCAATAAAATAAAAAAATTATTTGAACTAAGGTTCAAGAAATAAACAAACATTGAATTTTATTTTCAATAATGTTTTTCCTAAATCACCTGTTAGTGATTTCAATTATATTATCGTAGACAGTTTAATAAAATCATCTACGTAAATTAAATTAAAAGTGGCAAGATTAAAATAGTCGTTTGGCAACGTAAAAGTATAGAGATTAATCTAATTTTTTTTTAATTATTCTCATAACTAACCATATAAATTGTAAACTACATTATTAGTTATATGTGTAGACAAAACATACGTAACTGCATATAATCATTTATACTATCATAAATGCTAATTGTATAAAAATACAACTAATTTGAATGAAACTAATTATTAAAAAACAAATTTCAGTCTCACATTAAATAGCAAAGTAATAATTATTTGATTTGAATAGTTTTTCAATTTTTTAAATATTAAATATGTTACAGTATATATTTAAATAAACTTATATCATATTTTAGAGAGTATAGATTATTATTATATATTTACAAAGTATAGTTATTTAAAGCTCTTAATAATTAATTAAACTGATATTAACCATTTGTATAATTTAGTGAAATATAAAAACTGAAGTATATCATATTGACTGGTATCATATTTGCAAAATAATGTCAAGTATTTTTCATAGCCCTAATTTTGTTTAAGGAATATATAATTGACTATAAATAAATAGTTATAACTAAGTAATTAAGAATTTGGATTTCTTCCAACTGATGCCTTGTTCGCAAACTTAATTTAAATATAATAAAATTATTTAAAAAGCACAAAAATAATAAAAATGTTCAATATTTAATGTGTAAGACCAATTTTATTTTCGCAAATAACAAAAATAATTGAGAGTAATTTAGCGAATCATTGGGCTCCTGTCAAATACTAGAATGTTTTAGAAATTGTATTGATTTTAATTTTAATAAAATAAGCTTCTGCTTCACACTATGTAAAATTCTGTATATGACTTCGACATTAAAGTGTTTAAATATTTTAATTGATCTCTCAATTAATTTTTCACATTTATTTGCAATAATAACATTGTTCTTAATCCGTTTTTGTTGTTTCATTATTACCGCATTAATAGAAGTATTATTAATTATAATGTTATTTTTTATTAATAAATCCGTAAAAAGTAGAATTTTCATTTATTATACTTTATTATTTCGAGTTTCAGTACTAATTACGTGCTAAGATGTAATTAACACAAATTAATAATTATATAAAATAATTTTGTGTAACAAATATGATGTTAATATGAACATTTAGTAATCACATTAAGTGATATACTTTTACACAATGTGTACCAAATTTTTTATTGTATTGAATTACTAAATTAAAACTTTAAAACAATATAATATTTGTTATAACTAAATATACACTTTTAATTTTGAAAAATTTTTCGCGGAAAAATTCATACGCGGTTAATTTAGGAAATAGTATGCATACGAATATAGTATAATTTACTCACGAATACTTATATATTCATTGCATCTATTTAATTGTAATTAAATTCTTTGTGTTATAAATGTATGTAGGTAATATTTTACATTGTAATAAGATTTTTAAATAAAAATGAAAAATGGTAAAAAATATAACAAAATTATCTTTAATTATAGCAAATACACCAAATAGATTAGTTCAATATAGTAATGTAGAGAAAAATGGCATATCATCATGTCTCGACGCTATTGTGTACTTACTTGACTTTTGGCTACTGTGCCAAATGAAATACAAGTCTCTTATTACATTTTTTGGTATTAAAAGTAACATTGCAAGATATTTTAAAATTTTTTCATATTCCTTTACAATATTTGTAACTGTGGTATCAATTTCTTTAGTTCATTATGTATTATACATAAATATTGATATTTAATATTACGACATTATTATATATCCGTACAAATATATTAATCATTTTTTCATATAATCTTTCATTTTTTAAACTGTTCCACTATACAATCATTTAAAAATGTGAATAAAATTTTTTCTTTAATGTTCATTTAAGGTAGCAAACACATCTTTATCATATATTTAAAGTTATTTAAATTTTTGGTATTTTTTATTTTGAACTTTTTACATCACATGAAATTAAAAAAATAACTGATCAAGTTTATATAGAATATTAGGCGTCATTTGCTAAAAAAATATAACATGTATATACACGACATTCACTTTTAATTTAAATTACATTTTTCCATATTTAATATCTTTATTTAGCAGAATGAATACTAAAAAATTACTTTTAAATTAATAATTTTAATTTTTCAATTGTTTAATAATTATTATAGGAAAGATTTTGAAAAATTGCAAAATATACAAATTTATAATAATAATTTTATTGATAGAAAGAATTATTATTATAATAATTAAATAATTGTTAATTTTCCTTTAATCTATTGTTTTCAATTTGGAAGTGTTGAATTTTTTCTACATCTTGGGAAAAATTATGATTTTGGAACTTCTCAAAATATTTGTTTTATAAATAGATAACACCGTTAGCTTTGCTAATTTGGATTGTATTTCTTGGATGCAATCCACATTTTTAAGCTTTTCTGGTATTAATAATAAAATCAAAATTTATTATCTGCAATATAATATTATTTATTCAGTTAATAATAATTTGTTTCCACCTAAATATAGAAAAAATATTAAGTGAAGTTATTGCAATTTTATTAATATAACTTAGCTTTAGTCGATGATATTAAAATATTACTTAGTATTTGACTTTAATTGGTTGTTTTAAATGTTCACTGTATTCGTGCTATTTTAAACACTACTAAGCTTGTGTAAATTACTAATTAACTATTTCAAACAATATGTTAGATTTTAATACGTGTACAGCTTTTATTACTTTCTTTATATTGTTTTATTAATTTTTTTATAATCTTTTATTAATCTAATTATACTCTTTTATTAATTTATTTATATTCTTTAATTAATTTTAATAACTTTAAAGCAATAATAATAATTTATTAGATTAACATTTCATTAAAATAAGAAAATTAATGTTTTCTGTTTATCTTTGTAAAATTACTAATATACTAATTTTTAAAACTTATGAATTGTTTAAATTTTGTTAACACTTACATATTTTATTTAATAGTAATATAAATATCTTCTTCATCTATATTTATAATCAAATGAATAATTATGGAAATATATTATGTTAATAATATTTCATTGTTATTACAGAAACCCCAAATACGCCCGATGATAGCTGAATACGATCCAAAACAACATGGGGTGAAAACAGAACTCTCAGATATGGTACTTGTCAAGTAAGTATTTGCAATTTGAAAATTAGCACCCAAAATAAATTGAAATTGCTTTACATTTAATATTAAATTGCAGATTAAATATTGTAATTTTTTTGTGCTTTTAAAATTCCCTATTATATTATTTTTTACTTTTTACTTTGTTGCATTTATATATTAAAAGCATCAGCAATTTCTATGTTTTATATAAATATCACTTGATTATTAAGGTAGAATTTGATAAATTACAACATATTTTCCTATAAATTTAAATTATAATTTAAATTATGTCTTATAGCATTTAAGTTGTACATGTAATACTTTATAATATAACTGATTCTTTTAATATGATGAATAAAATTAATAGTTTATAGATATCCGTATTAAGCTATAAAACTTTCTATTGCAATACTTTGAAAGTACAAATATAACATTGCTTATTCTTATTTGTTAAATAATTATTATAAAAAGAGGTGAACAAAATATAATTATATATATTTTATTAGTTAATAAATTAAGAATATTTTTATTTATAGTGTATATTATAACTTCAATAACTCAATTTAGTCGACATTTGAATGGATTTTCTATAAGAGAATAATGATCCGAATGAAATATCACATATTTCTTACCTGCTTACCTTCTTAATAGTAAATATTGTCTTATGAAAAAAGGTTTATAATATTTAAATTGGACTATTTTAAAATTTTGTAATTAAAGTAAAATTGTTATTTTTGTTGTTTGTGTTGGTCTGTAAGAAAACGTACAATAAAAAGTAAATAAAAATATTTAATATCCAATTAGTAAAATAATTTAATTATTTTTATAGATTAATTTAATTATTACTATTTATTAAATTTTTAAATTAACTTTTTATTTTATTTCTTTTTTTTATATTAGATAAAGTGTATTTTAATTTTTATTATTTAGATATTCATAGGTAGATAACTATGTAATACTTTGTGTATCAAAATATTATATGTATATTTTTTTATGGTTAATATCGGAATACAGATTTTTTACTTTAGATTTATATGTTTTCTGTCGTATGAATAAATCACTTTAAGTGAAATGTTATGTAGCGAATGTTTCTACTTCACTCATTAATATTTTATTTTATTCACCAATGAATATATATGAATATAGTATATCTAATATTTATGAATACAGTATATGTAATATATATGAATATAATTAATATAATGTATCTAATATATACGAATATGGTATATCTACCGTTTAAAAAATATTCTTAATAACGAAATATGTAAAACAAATTTTTAAAATTATATTTAAAAAAAAACTATGAAGACAACAAGATAAAAATATAATTTTAAGAAAACTTATTGTTCATAAATAAATCCAATAAATCAAATTCAAATCCAAAACTACATATATTAAAGTAAAAAATTAAGTTATTTGTTGATTGAATACTATTCGGGATTCAGAGAATATTTCGACTATTATCATTTGGGAAAAAATCCCAATGGCTACCATTTCAAAAAAACTTCAATGGTTATCATTTCAAGGAAATTATTCAACGGTCATAACTTCTAAGAAAATTCTCCAACGGTCGTTGAAGATGCGAAAAAGCTGATATGAATGTACAATCATCCCCATTGTTTCTCGCACCAATGTCGAACTCATTGTTCTAGCGGTATTATCGGCCCTTCGTCTTCAGCTAACAAAGTAGCCGCGTAGATGTTTAAGGCAAACGCAATATAAGACAAGCTCTACTCAGTCATGAGCTATTCAGCCAAACCGAGTCAAGAAAGCAATCGCAAGCCTTTCTGTACAAAATGTATTCGCCGTTCCGGCTTGTTTTACCAAGGCCGATTCGAAGGATACAAATTGATGCCGTTGACAACTCAGAGACCACGGGTGTTGTGTGGTAGCGATGAAAGGTCACAAGTGGAAGGGATATGATAATAATACAATATAAATATGGCTGATGTATATGCTGTTTATTCTGTTATTTATTGATGACAAGGTTGACTAGTATTACTATTATTAATTATGGAAATATTTCTCGTGGTGGATTAATGTACACAGTCATCTATGCAGCGTAATGGTTGAATCTGATCGCAGAATGGCGCGATGTTTGATTCGTCGACACTCACGCTGTTTGAATGACCGCGTGGCGTAGTTAAGGTTATGGTTGTAACTGACGTGACACATATAGTGTTGTTATGTGAGAAAAATAGTCATATCGTAGCAAGTGTACTTTGTTCTGATATTGGCGTACTGCAATAAATTCAGATGGAAGTAAGAGTTTGAAGGGGCTTTACCTTATGAAGGATACTGCTACGTGTTGCGGCTATTACAAGCGTTGACTGATGTGTGCGTAAGTTAATAAGCGTCCGACTTTGAACTAAGATGAGGGTTTGCCGACAAGACGCCCTTTAGCGGGCGCGAACTTTGCGACGCGTACTGGAATCTATTCCGCACTGTTGCTCTGGGGAGAGCTTCTTCGTCCTTAGTTACTTGTCGATGTCATAATCTCTGAATCTCAGAGTATGTAATTATTGTAGTAATAATACTACTTACGAAGACTAATCGTTGACTCGTCTCCGGACTCTGATATGCGGATTGTCGTCGCTCCCTTTGAACATCTATCGACGGATTCTTGAACTGCGTTAGTGGACATACGGGTTTCTGTCGTCGTTCTTCTGGGACGTGTAACTACGGTTGATTGAATAAGAACTATATCGAAAGTGATGAATATTGAAAAATGTGTCCCTTAAATACATTTGCTGACCATGAACTTCACTTGAACCCCTTTCCTTATTTTTCGTCCAATCAGAGACTTCTCCCTTACAGAGCGCGGGCAGCGCCTCTTGTGGCTTCATAGTTAATTAAGGGCCTAGTCGTCTCTTGGTCTAAATGGCAAGAAGAGCTCTCGTTGCTGCTGGCGCATCTGGCGACAGCATGACAACTTGTTGACAGCGGGAAGGGGGGCGTAGGTCCGCTCGCACATAATGCTTGAAGTAATTACCAAGCGGAGTAAATTCGTACATATGCCTAACTGAGTGGGTTTTCCGTGTTTATTGTATTGTTTTTCCAGATGTTTTATGATGTCTATTGATATATAGTTGCGAGCAAGAAAGTTTTGAAATCTAAACCCAACTTGACGATGTTGTTTTGCCAGATGTTATATTGCATTGAAAAAAGGTCTCGCAATCTCGAACACTTTCCAATACTAGTACGGCCATTGCGCACACTCGCTGCAGAGCCGTTACGAAAGGTACACTCAACAGCTTCATACTGAACAGCAACTCACTCATACTAGTGCCCCGAGCACGAAGCTGTTGCAGGCCTTTCTTATACTAGGTGCAGCCATTGCACACACTCTCAGCAGAGCCGCTACGAAAGGTCCTCCTCATCCTTCCACACTACAAGATAGCTTGGAGGAGACCAGCAATCAAGTTACCACCATGTGGTACCACACGCAGAAGTGTCAAGAGACTTATGACCTCTCACTCTTAGTATAGTATTCCACCACCAAGCGTACTGTATCAAGAGGATCGAAGACTTAGAACCTCCTACCTCTACATTTAGTGCATATTGACACCACGTACCAACAACGAAGAAACAGTAGGATCTTACCAATTCTCATCGTCAACGTAGAATCATTATATTGTAGTTGTAAAATAAACGAAACATCAAGCACGAAAAGCAGACGTATTTAATGCTGAATTCAAGCGCTACCCCCTCCACTTACCAACACTTTTCTTCCACCAGGCAACTGGTGGCCATAGTCTAATTCTACACAAATACACAGAAAAAGGAATATTTAATTTAATTAAAAGTAAATGCTGTATATTAATTTTTTTATAAAATTTGTGTATGTATTGGTTAAAATTATAGTATTGTGCACAATAATTAAAATAAGAACTTTCTAAAGTATATTGTGTTAAATATGATTGTACAAGGATACAATTTTTATGAAAATATTTAATAAATAGTTGTTTATTAAAAAATGCTCACAATGTATGTTACTTAATCTGCTAAAGTTAACTATTCAAGAAACTAGATGAACAATTGGACTATAACTTACTGAAGACTATTTATAACCATTATTCAAGCTGGTGGGTTTTAAATAACTCAAAGATTCCATAATTGTATCCATACTAGAGGTTAGCCTTCAAAGAATAGTCTAAAACTTTTGATATTATTTTTAAAGAATAATGTAAAAAATTATTAGTTCTACATGTTATAACGCTATATAGCTTTATACGTATTCTAACAATAAATAATACTATCAGGATTTAATTTTTATGTTTATAAACTCATTAATTACTAACGATTACAATTAATTGCTAAATGGTTTTTAAATCAATTTAATTTTAGACAATTATAATATACTTTCTTACATAATACTTTGTCTAAAAATAGAGTACCTGGCTAGGAGGGCCACATATCTAGAGTTAGGTGTAAACTCCCAGATGGTGGAAGGGAGGATTGCGGGCAAGTGGACAGGATAATGCATGTATTCAATAATAAATAGATTTGGTATTTGTTTTAGTTTATTGCGATAATTGCATTGGTTGTATTATAATGATTTTTAGTTTATGCTTGAATGCCTTCGTTTCTCGAGTTTTGTATTGCTATTGCCACAGAGCCGTAATGTGCGTTGCATGTACAGGTAGAAGGGCGTAGCCTTCTGGTCCTCTATATGTATTGCACGTGGTGGTGGTGTTATACACGTAGAAGAACAAGGTCGTAAACCCCCGTGCTTCCTTGTGCAGTGGCACATGGCAGTAACTTGAATTTGCCTTGGTATTGTCTTATTGCTTACGTTGAAGGCTCTGCAGGTGCGTTTTTGGTGGCACTTCAACTTAGTCTGTAGATATTGCTGCGTACGGCGCCTCGTAAGTCTTTCTTGTGGGAGCTAAACTTGCCTCTTATGTGTTTGCAGATTGTGTGAGCTTGGTCGCTCTACAGTTCTTTACCTTGTGAGGCATATTGTGTATTATTATCGTTATTAAGGAATGGAACTTTACCTTAAGAGTTCTGCAGATTTT